AATGGAAGCGTTGTTAAGCGGTTGCTTTAACAGTAGGGAAGAGCTTTGGTGGAGACTAAAGGAAAAATGCCATTCAGGCAACGACAACGCAAGTAAACAGTAATAAAACATGAGCTGCTGGCTCTTCCATCGCAAATTGAGCATGTGGGTGCGGTACAAGTGAGATTAATCTTTTATTCAGTTATTTACCGAATAAAGCAGCATTTGCGAATCTCTTTCTCTTAGTGGAGAAAATGAGGACTTGCCTAAAAAGCTTCTGCTGGCTTACTGGGGAAAACACTCAACACTTCACCGGGCACAGAACAAGTGTCAATAAATTCGCGAACACTAATCACTGATAACTGCAAAATAATACACTCGAACTGGATCGGGATCGGGAAATTCATGCTTTATCAATGAGCAACCGCTATGTTCAACAGATAATCATCCATTATTACACCTATAGGTAGTGAGTAAATTAGCCAATATTTGCTTAATGAAAACGCGCAAACATATAGTGGAATTAAGTATATCTTATCGAGGTAGATGACATTCTCTCACAGGTTAATCGCATGCCACAGGAGGCAATTCGAGGATTTTGCGTATCCTCACGCGCTCGGATATAAAATGACTTTTTCTCTGCCGGTTCCAATGTCTAAATTAACCCATTTTTAGTTCAGATGTTGATCAAATAGCGTGTTAATGGAATGGTCTGAATGTCACGTTCACATAAAACATACAGTCGATTTTCGGAAACATTTCGTGTAGGTGCGAAAATTAGACCAGTTAACCCAATTTCCACTTTACGATATTTATCTAAATCGCGTCTATTTACCGATTTTCTAAATCGGATCGGCGTACACGCAATTAACCGAGTCAAAACAGTAAAACTGAACTGCGAAAACATGTAGAATGGGCACTTTATTCGAGAAACGTGCAAAAATGGTGTTCATTTTGACCATTTCGTCGACTCAGACCGAACACAAATCAAGAGTTTTTGGCTCAGAAAAAGAACTATATTCTGTCCAGAATAGAGGCTGATTTTAGAACGGTATTTTCTTCTGCTCCAGGAAAAGCACTTTATCCTTACTTCAAAGAAAGTAGAATATTTATTGGTTTGGCCGCGGGACGATTTCTGTTGACGAGAGAACTTGAGCGCATTTGCTTGTTCAATATCGTATCCTTTCCGCGGCTAAACGCCTAAATGATGTTGCTTCGATCATTTTTGCTTAATATTTTCGGAAAAAAAATCCGAAAAAAATGGTAAACTTAAAATGGTAAAAACGTCCTGAGGATGGTCAGAATTCGAAACATTGCGTTTAACTTCTTTCAACCTCTCCCTACAAAGCTTAATACTCGGGAATTTTGTGGCTTCTTCCGAAGTTAAAAAATTGCAGTTTTGAAGAAACACTGTGGGGTTTGCTTCAGGAAAACCGCGCTTGGTTT